ATGGATGAATTTCATGCCTGTGAGCAAGTGCAGAGTAGTTTCCATCTAAAGTCTTTAATTTTGTGTGTTTCAGCCTGTGAAGTCCATTTTGAAAACACCAAGGTGCCCATTGAAAATGTCCTAGGAGAAGTTGGAGGTGGGTTTAAGGTGAGTTGTTGGCAGCAGTTCCTGTGACTGCTGTGCAGTTTCATGATGTTGTTTGCTGGCCTTAACTTTCTGTATCGTCCCTGCTTGTAGCAGACCAGCCTGTGCTGGCCAGGCGACCATGTGTGGTTCTCCTTTGGGAAATCGGCAAAGTGGGAAGGGGGGAAATTGCCTCCCAGAAGAGGAAGTGTGTGGTTAGAACCAAGTCTCTTCATTAATCTGTGAGGCTTTGTTTGCCTTGAGTAGGGACAGGATTCCCTCCAGCACACATGATAAAGCAGGCCAGTGGCAATGGAGAAACACAGGTTATCCAGTGACTAGCCCTGGGTCCTGAAGCCCCAAGATGTTTTGTTTTTGAGTCAAATTTATTATTATATTTTTATTGACAGATAATTCATATAACATAAAATTCACGGTTTCCTATTGTACACATTGGTTGTTTTTAGTATATTCACTATGTTGTGCAACCATCACCATGATTTAATTCCAGAACGTTTCCATCACCCCAGAAAAAAATGCCATCCCTCCCATTTCCAGTTTCCCTCATCCCTTGGCAATCACTACATTAACTTCTGTTTTTATGGATTGGCCTATTTTGAACATATATATAAATGTTATAAATATGTGGCCTTTTGTGTTTGGTTTCTTTCATGTAGTATTACGTTTTCAAAGTTTATTCAAGTGGTAGCGTTTGTTATTCCTTTCAGAGGCTGGGTAATATTCCATTGTATGGATAGACCACATTTTGTTTATTCATTCATCAGCTGATGGACCTTCTGATTGTTTCCACCCTTTGGCCATTATCAATAATGCTGCTATGAACATTCATGTACAAGTTTTGGTGTGAACAATATGTTTTCAGTTCTTTTGGGTATTTACCTAAAAGTAAAATTTCTGCGTCATATGGTGACTGTGCATTTAACTTTTTGAGGAACTACCCGGCTATTTTCCACAGTGGCTGCACCACTTTACATTCCTGTCATAAATGTATGAGGGATCTAATTTCTGCACATCCTCATCAACACTGATTATTGTCTATTTTTAAAATTATAGCCATCTTAGTGTGTGATGTCATATCCTATTGTGGGTTGATTTGCATTTCTCTAATGACTATTACTGCATCTTTTCATGTGTTTATTTGCAGTTTTTGGAAAAACGTCTTTTTAAATCCATTGCCTGTTTTTTGTTTTTTTTTTTGCTTTTTAAAAAATATATTTTATTGATTTTTTTGCAGAGAGGAAGAGAGAAGGATAGAGAGTTAGAAACATCAATGATTAGAGAGAATCAACGATGAGCTGCCTCTTGCACACCCCCTACTGGGGATGTACCCGCAACCCAGGTACATGCCCTTGACCGGAATCGAACCTGGGACCTTTCAGTCCGCAGACTGATGCTCTATCCACTGTGCCAAACCGGTTTCGGCCATTACCTGCTTTTATTTATTTATTTTTTTTGCTGTTACTTTTTTTTTATTATTATTATTTATTTTTTTAATTAATTAATTAATTTATTTTTACATATTTTATTGATTTTTTCCCCCTCCCTCCCTCCCACACATCCCCTCCCTCCTCAGAGCTTTATGTCCATTGGTTGTACTTATATGCATGTATACAAGTCCCTCAGTTGATCTTTTATCTCCCCCAGTTCCTCCTCCCCTTCCCGCTGAAATTTGACAATCTGCTTGTTGCTTTACTGTCTCTGTATCTATCTTTTGGTTCATCAGTTTATAATGATCTTTATTATCCACAAATGAGTGAGGTCATGTGGTGTTTCTCTTTCATTGATTGGCTTATTTCACTCAGCATGATGTTCTCCAATTCCATCCAGGTTGCTGCAAATGATGAGAATTCCTTCTTTTTTATGGCAGCATAGTATTCCATTGTGTAGATGTACCATAGTTTTTGGATCCAATCATCTGCTGACGGGCACCTAGGCTGTTTCCAAATTCTGGCTATTGTAGATTGTGCTGCTATGAACATAGGGGTGCATATATCCTTTCTGATTGGTGTTTCTAGTTTCTTGGGATATATTCCTAGGAGTGGGATTACTGGATCAAATGGGAGTTCCGTTTTCAGTTTTTTGAGGAAATTCCACACTGTTCTCCACAGTGGTTGCACCAGTCTGCATTCCCACCAGCAGTGCACGAGGGTTCCTTTTTCTCCGCAACCTCGCCAACACTTGTTGTTTGTTGATTTGTTGATGTTGGCCATTCTGACAGGTGTGAGATGGTACCGCATTGTTGTTTTGATTTGCATCTCTCGGATAATTAGTGACTTTGAGCATGTTTTCATGTGTCTTTTGGCCTTCCTTCTGTATTCTTTTGAAAATATTCTATTTAGGTCCATTTTCCATTTTTTAATTGGATCATTCATCTTCCTTTTATTTAGTTGTATCAGCTGTTTGTAGATGTTGGAGATTAAACCTTTATCAGTGGTAACATTTGCAAATATGTTCTCCCACACATTGGGTTTTCTTGTTGTTTTGTTGATGGTTTCTTTTGCTGTAAAAAAGCTTTTTATTTTTATGTAGTCCCATTTGTTTATTTTCTCTTTAGCTTCCATTGCCCTAGGGGTAGTACCAGTGAAGAAGTTCTTTTGGCATGTGTCTGAGATTTTGCTGCCCATGGATGCTTCTAGTATTTTTATGGTTTCCTGTCTGATGTTTAAGTCCTACATCCATTTTGAGTTTATTTTTGTGTATGGTGTAAGTTGGTGATCTAGTTTCATTCTTTTGCATGTGTCTGTCCAATTTTCCCAACACCATTTATTGAAGAAACTGTCCTGACTCCATTGTATATTCGTGCCTCCTTTGTCAAATATTAATTGAGCATAGTGATTTGGGTTGATATCTGGGTTCTCAATTCTATTCCATTGATCTATATGTCTGTTCTTGTGCCAGTACCAGGCTGTTTTGAGAACAGTGGCTTTGTAATACAGTTTGAAGTCTGGTATTGAAATCCCTCCTACTTTACCCTTCTTTCTCAGGATTGCTGTGGCTATTCGGGGTCTTTTATTGTTCCAAATGAACTTTTGGAGAGTTCTTTCTAGGTCAGTGAAATATGCCGTTGGTATTTTAATGGGGAGTGCATTGAACCTATAGATTGTTTTAGGAAGTATGGACATTTTGATGATGTTGATTCTACCAATCCATGAACATGGTATGTTCTTCCATCTCCTTACATCTTCCTCTATCTCTTTTTTCAGTGTCGTGTAGTTTTCTGCATATAGGTCCTTTACTTCCTTAGTTAAATTTATTCCTAGGTATCTTAATTTTTTTGGTGCGATGGTAAATGGAATTGCTTTTTTAGTCTCTGTTTCTGTAGTTTCACTGTTGGTGTATAGAAATGCCATGGATTTCTTGGCATTAATTTTGTATCCTGCTACATTGCCAAATTCATTTATTAAGTCAATTAGTTTTTTAATGGAATCTTTTGGGTTTTTTATGTACAATATCGTGTCATCTGCAAATAAGGATAACTTTACTTCTTCTTTTCCAATTTGGATGCCTTTTATTTCCTCCTCTTGTCTAATTGCAATGGCTAGTACTTCCAGTACTATGTCAAACAGGAGTGGCGAGAGTGGGCATCCCTGTCTTGTTCCTGTTCTTAGAGGGAATGGTTTTAGTTTTTGCCCATTGAGTATAATGTTGGCCGTGGGTTTATCATATATGGCTTTTATTATTTTGAGGTATGATCCTTGTACTCCCACCTTGTTAAGAGTTTTTTATCAGGAAAGGGTGTTGGATTTTATCAAATGCTTTTTCTGCATCAATTGATATAACTATATGATTTTTATCTTTCAATTTGTTTATGTGATGTATCACATTTATTGATTTGCGGATATTGTACCATCCTTGCATTCCTGGAATAAATCCTACTTGGTCATGGTGTATGATCTTTGTGATGTTCTTCTGGAGACGATTTGCTAGAATTTTGTTGAGGATTTTGGCATCTATGTTCATGAGGGATATTGGCCTGTAATTCTCTTTCATTGAGTTGTCTTTATCTGGTTTTGGTATTAGGGTGATGCTGGCTTCATAGAAGGAGTTTGGAAGTGTTCCTTCCTCTTGGATTTTTTTGAATAGTCTGAGGAGGATAGGTTTTAGTTCTTCCTTGAATGTTTGGTAAAACTCTCCTGTGAAGCCATCTGGCCCTGGGCTTTTGTTTGCTGGAAGCTTTTTGATGACTGTTTCAATTTCTTCCCAAGACACTGGTCTATTGAGATTTTTAGATTCTTCCTGATTGAGTTTTGGAAGTTTGTATTTTTCTAGGAATATGTCCATTTCCTCCAGGTTGTTCAGTTTGTTGGCATAGAGTTGTTCGTAGTATTTTGTAACAATCTGTTGTATTTCGGTGGGGTCTGTTGTTATTTCACCTCTTTCATTTCTGATTTTGTTTATTTGGGTCCTCTCTCTTTGTTTCTTGGTTAGCCTGGCTAGAGGTCCATCTATCTTGTTTATTCTTTCAAAGAACCAGCTCTTGGTTTTGTTGATCTTATGTATTTTTTTTTGGTCTCTATGTCGTTTATCTGTGCTCTGATTTTTGTTATTTCCTTCCTTCTGCTTACACTGGGCTTTTCTTGTTGCTCCTTTTCTAACTCTTTGAGTTGTAGAGTTAGATCATCTGTTACCCTTTTTTCTAGTTTTTTGCAATAGGCTTGTAAGGATATGAACTTCCCTCTCAAAACTGCTTTTGCTGTGTCCCATAGATTTTGGATTGTTGTGTTTTCATTGTCATTTGTTTCCAGGATGTTTTTAATTTCTTCCTTGATTTCTCTGGTAACCCAATCCTTGTTTAATAGCATGCTGTTTAGTCTCCATGTGTTTGATTTCTTTGGATTATTTTTATTGCAGTTAATTTCCAGTTTTATGCCATTATGGTCTGAGAAGATACTTGATATGATTTCTGTCTTCTTGAATTTGAAGAGACTTTGCCTATGTCCCAAAATGTGGTCTATCTTTGAGAATGTCCCATGTGCACTTGAGAAGAATGTATATTCTGTGGC